CATCTTTATTCGTTCTACTGTTTAGGACGAATAAAATAATTAAAATTAAATAAATATTCTTCGTCAATAAAATTTTATTCAACTAAAACAATCAAAACACTTCATTTAAAAAGAATTAAGTTCACATTTGGCTGTAAATAAATTTTCTTATTATTCTTTAAAATAAGAGATTAAATTTTATGTGTCGTTAAAAGATTTTTTTTTTAATGTTACATATCACATAATGGTATGTAATACATTATTAGAAAAAAGTTAGACTTAATTACTAGATAATACTGTGAATATTTTAAATAATTTATCAATACAAAATTATTGATAGTGTATAAAAATTTGTAATTATAATGCATTAAAATTAAATAATAAAATTATATTTTTGTTTTTGAAAAAAAAATTGTTTTCCCTTCGAAAAAACTTTTTTATTGCTAAAAAAATGCTGTCATTTTATGCCTAGAAAAAATAATACTGTCATTTTATGCTTATATTGTTTCTCGCCATGGATAGTATGGTCAGAAATTTTATTTAGATTTCAAGCGAGGATATGTAAATTTATTCACTTACATAAATTAGAAAAAATGATATGTAAAGGTAAAACTCGATTAACGCCTGTAATTAAGTTCAAAGAACTTTAGCAGTTGAACTAGTTGATATTTTTGATTTCATGTCTACAATTTATTGAGTAATATAATAATTTTATAAAATAAATTTACGCTAGAATTAAAGAAGCAACAAGAATTCTTAGGTACGAAATAAACTTATCTTTTTGTGTGTGTGTGTGTGGAGGTTACAGGAAAATAAAGAAACAACAAAACAGACTAAAACCTAGTCATTCTAGGGAAAGCTAGCCACTCCCATCAGGTCTCTATTGACCAGCTCTAACTCTCTAAGCACCTAGTAGAAGGATGATAAAAAAATTTAAACTTTAATTGGGACCGTTCCGAATCGGACTATTCATAAAACAATGAATTTATTGAAATATTTTTAAAATAAAAATAAAAAACAATTTAAGTCCACATTCTAGCAAGCAACACTGTTGCCTTCCTTATGAAAGTGGGATACTTTAACAAACCCAGCTCCTGTCCAGGATTAGATTAATTCTATTCATGTTGGCTATTTTATCCTTCACAACTCTAATGCATGTTTTTCACTAAGAAGTAGACAAAAAAATCATAAAGTCTCAAATGATCATATGAAATAAAATATTTTTTAACTAATAAAACGATTTAAATGTGTATGCTAACTCAATCCTTTATAGTTGATATAAAAACTTAAAATAATGTGTGCCTTGGTATATGAGTGTGGTGCTAAATCAATGTAATGCGTTAACAAAGTACAATCCAATATGTCAACAAAAAAAACGTAAATTAAACTATTTCTAATTTAGGCAAAAAAATAATAATAAAGCGCTGAAAATCATTTTCATTTTGGATGCATATATTGAATTATAATTTAATTTTCATTAATCATTATTTTTATTCGTTGTGAGATAAAATTAACACTTATTATTAAGTAATACAATACTTATTAGATTTATTTTCTTGGATATAATATAACATTGCTATTTTCTAGAAGAAACGAAATTCAAAAATGGTTTACAAAAGACTTTTAATTTATATCAACTTGAATTATTTATTTGCAAAGCAAAGGACGCACTGGCGGCTATTGTACGGCTAATAAATGTTCCACAGTTTATGTAGGCAAGGGTCTAGAAGTTAGACAGAGACGGGTCATTGAAATGGAAAAATACAATGCATTCAACCCCATTAATTCTCACCCATGGAGCCTACACTAATCTAATTTATGTGCCTCATTTTTTCTTCTAATGCGAGTTGGACAAAGAAGGCATATTAAAATAAAAGGAGACTTATGTAAAAAAAATTAAGTATTTAATGAAAATAAAATCTGTACATTATTTTCAAATTTTATATACGAAAATTCAAAAAAATAAAGTAAATAATAATTCACATATTATATTCTTATTAAAAAAAATAATACAAGCACTAAAAATATTTCACATAAATTTTATCCTCAAATTTATCGAAAATCACCATGGACTTTCCGGATATACATAAGGTCGTGTTTGGTACAAGAGAAATTTTTTGGTATCCGGGAATCACGACTAATGGGAGTACAATAGAAATTGAGTTTACTTGGAATTTTACGAAAAATGTGTTTGGTTCGCCAAAATATTACCGGAAATATTGGATAAAGATTATTGATTCCATGTTTGATTTAGAACGAAATATGACTTGGAACATGAGGTTATTTTACAAAAATAACCCCAAACTATTTTTACTTGGTCTAGGTTTTTATGTGTGTTGAGGTATTTTTGTCTTAAAAATTATTGTTGTGTTTCCCTTTACTTGGTATTCTGAATTACAATATTATTTTTGGTAATCTGAATAGTGATTTTTCTTTATAAATCAAATTACCGATAATCTTTGGATATCCCGGAACTGATTTTTGTTCCTTCTACCAAACATGGTAATTGGGTTTACCAGTAATCCTTTTGAAATACTTGTACCAAACACACCCTAAGTGTATGCAAGCAGAGGCGGATCCAAGTTGTTGAGAAGGGAGGCAAGTGCCCACCCTTAAATCTGATCCAAAAATAGGAAAATGTCATTTTCTTAAAATTTAAGTTTTCCAATTTAATTTTTCTCCTTTTATTTTATTTTTCCGTGAGTTTTTTTTTTCTCCTTCACCTTCGTTTGCATCTACATATTAATTCATCTCCTCTCAAACCTCAATCTCCATTATTAGAAGTTAGAACATTTGTTTTTTCCTCCATCATCGGTCCAATTAAGTCGCTAGATCTAGATCTAAACCAGGCACAGTTAGCCGGCAGCTGCTCGCAAGTCGCATTCCAGATCAGACCCAAATTTATATATACTGACTTATTAAGTGTCCACCTTTCATTAATTTCCTGGATCCGCCACTGTATGCAAGAAGCTATGACAACTCGATATATTACATAGATAATTAATGAAGACATTGGAATGACCGATGTTTTAATACATTATTATTAATATCCGAGTTTTTTTTTTTGGTATAACCTGGAGGGTATCCCTATTCAACCTCCTCCGGTCATCTTGTCCTCGGAGTACGGTCAAAAAGCTATCCCTCTTTAAACAGCAGGTGTATTAAGCTTCGCTACCGGAAAAAGGATGAGACTAATCTCCCCTTTGAGAAGAGAGATATATCCTTTGACTTACCCAAGCAAACTCTTAAAAGCTCAGTTGTGAGTTACGGAAGTTAATATCCGAGTTTTTAGGCTCTATAATATCTACAGCATATAATATTGACAGCAATATACGCGATTATTATTTCTCTAAATGTGATAATACTTTGATATATAAATTGAAGTGCGTATGAGCAAAAGACGCTATCAATTTTTTCTGTGAAAAAAAAAAATTGATAATAGACTTTGCTGAAAAAATTGATAATAGACTTTGCTGCGGGTTGAATATGAGAGTGCATCCTCCTATATGTTATTTAACATGATTATATTATATGAAAATATTTTAACATTTATAAGGGTGAATGAATAGTAATAAAGGATGAGAAAAAAAAATATTAGAATAAAAAATTATAAAATTATCATAATTAATGTATTCATTGATAGTTAGAATTTAAAATTCCTTCACATAACATATCATTATCATATTAAATCCAATACCATATGAGATATTATCCTTCCGATGAACACTGAACCTTAAATGAAGTGCTCTTGCATCTATGGCTAATAATAACTGAATATGACGAGCCAAGTTGGAGAAATGCGGTTAGTGTGCCACATTGACACAATGCCTTTGTTCAAGCGAGTGCGCACGGGGTGGCGTATCCATTTCCGGAGTAAATAATAATATTTGGGTAAGGAAGAAGTATTAATCATAGGAGATAAAATTAACATGAAGTTTACAAAAAAAATTTCTATAAATTTATAAATTATATTATGTTTGACTAGTAATACTTTACTCAAGAGTGTATTACTGGTCAAACATAATATAATTTGTAAAAGTTTGTAAAAAAAAAAAATTGTAAATATAACCTTTCTTAAATCAACATATAAAATAAAATCTCGAAATCTTAAAACAACGTTATTTTAGAATGCAAAAACGTAAGATATTTTAAAAAATTTACTTTTCTTTTATAATATAAAATTTTATAAAAATCTATTTATTTTTTCTCTTAAATCTGAAAACAACATTATTTTGTGATTATATCTTTTATTGCAAAAGAAATACTAAATCCTAATATATATATATATATATATATATATATATATATATATATATATATATATATTAGGTTTTAAAATAGACAATTTTTAACGTCTTGTTTCTCTAACTTTTTTTTTTAATAAGCATAGGATTACGTAAGATTTTTATTTACAAATAATTTTCTATTTTTAAAATAGATGTTACTTAAGATTTTGTATAATAATTATTTTTAATATATGTACCTTTAATTATATTTGGTTAAATTACTTTTTATTAATGTTATTTTTTATTTTATTTACTAAAAATACCAAGTTTTTCAAAAATAAACAATTCAAAGCAAAATAAAAATTTTAAAATAAGAGTTGTTTTACAATAAATCAAGTACAACTTTGATTAAAAAAAAGGTACAATTTTGTTGCGTGAGAGTCACCTACTTTATTATTTGTTTGACTCACGTGCATATTATCCGCAAAGGAATTACTCCATTCTTTAATACAAGCAAATGATAAAAATATTCAAAGGCATGCTCCTCCTTGCCCAAAAATATCAAATTCACTTTACATGATAACTGATTTATACATTTTTTAAACTCAAATGGTCATTCGGTCGTTTTCTTTCCTTCCTTTCAATGGGTATATAAACGAGGCAAGCCCTTTAGATCTTCATTCAAACATCACAGCACACAAGTATTAGCTATATTATCTCCAACCGTGACAAAAGAAAAAAACAAATATATAGAGAATTCCAAGCGATAATTTGTGTGCATTCTGATTCCAATAGATGGATTTTGACTCTCTTATCTCCCAAAACCAAAACCTTCACTTCTTCCCTGAAAATTCCTTTGTTTCTGAGGACCCTTTCTCATGGGACATCAAAGACTTCATTTTCTTCAACAATTACAACAACACCCTTCCCTTCAACTTCAGCGAACACTCACAATCACAATCACAATCGAACAAATCTTCAGGGTCTCTGGGTAGTGTTGAGTCACAAGAAGTCTCATCCAATACAACCGATCATGCACAAGTGAGAGAAACTCGAGCATCACCACACAAGTTCAGAGGAGTAAGGAGGAGGCCATGGGGGAAATTCGCGGCGGAGATAAGGGATTCAACAAGAAATGGGGTGAGAGTGTGGATTGGAACGTTTGACACAGCAGAGGAAGCAGCTTTGGCTTATGATCAAGCAGCATTCTCAACAAGGGGTTCATTGGCAGTGCTGAATTTCCCACAGGAAGTGGTGAAGGAGTCCCTCAAAGACATGGCTAATAATAAGGCTTTGGAAGAAGGTTCCTCCCCTGTGTTGGCACTCAAGAGAAAACACTCCATGAGAAGAAGAAGAAACTCAAATTCTACTAAGCCTAGTAAAAAGAAAACCAAGAGCCATGACATGGATCAGTTACAGATTAGTACTTCTCAAAATGTGCTGGTCTTTGAAGATTTGGGTGTTGAATATCTAGAGCAACTTTTGAGCATGACTTCATAATCATTTCGAGTTTTTTAATTCTTATTTTTTTTATTTTTTCAATTTCTCCAGCAATTTATTCAATACTGGATTAATCAGATTCGAGTTGTATGGATGGCATATAGTTGCAGCTCTCTCATGAGAATTTCTGTATCTAGGTTTCCTATTCTTGGAAATTGTTCATTAAATTTTACCTTGAATTCTTTCACAACTGGATCAAATGTTCTATTCGGATTCCTCCTTTTTCGTCATCTCCATTATTTTCATTCCTTTGTCGTTCAGAAAAAGAAAAATAAAACTTACAAAATACTCTAATTCCGGTTCGAAAAAGTGCGTTTATTGTAATTTTCTCACCAAGAAAAGTTGTTCTAAGATGATTACACTCGGGCAAGCTCTCGCATCCAAATAATAATTAAGAGTATAGTATCCCAGAATATATAAACAGAATTGAATTATTTTCTTCCCAACTATCACAATGGTGTTCCCACTCTAAAAGAAGGTTCATATTTCTTAAATAGTTCCTCGCGTCGTTATGTATAATAACTCAAAAAAGTTTACTTGTGACGAAAAATTTCGTCATAATTTTTGTCACAAATGACAATTTTTTACACAAATAATCAAATTTTGTCACAAATAAACTTGCGATGCAGGAATTTGGGACGAAATTTACTTGCGACGTAAAAATTTGTGATGAAATTTACTTGTGACGTAGAAATTTGTGACGAAATTTCACAAAATTTCGACACTAATAAAATTTTTTCTTGTAGTGACTCGAACATGTATAATGAGAAATTAAGAATTTACCCATGATTAAAAGAGAGTAATTAGAGGAGAAAACAAATTATGAGAATAAAGTCACTTTTCATATAAAAATGCAATTACAGAAAGTTTTGAGTTAAGAATGAAAATATCTAAAAATTACCTGAAACTAAAAAATGAAAGACTATTTTCATGATTGTGAGATAAATATATGATTACAATGTTAAGTCATTGGGCTAGAAAAAGAATATGGAAGAAGGGTAAAATGGTATTTGTTTGACTATGTAGTAAGTGTTGACTCGGTCATCTAATGATTAAAAGGCTTGAGTATGTTCATTAAAACACAAAACTCCACCACCATCGATTTCTATTCTTCTCCAAGCGGTGGAAGCCATGGTTAGTGAGATCCAAAACCTAACATGAGCTATAGTTGATGAAATCAAGAAATTCCAACACCAAAGTTACTTAAATTTTCATTAGGAACAAAACCCACCCTTTAGTTTCAAGTGGGAAGCCTTGTGGAGAAAGTTTTCACCTCTCAAAGTTTAGAGAGATTCTTGGAGTTTGGAATTTTGGAGAGTGTTGGAGCTCATTTTAACTTGGAAAATCCTCCTCCTTTCATTTTAAAGAGACTTACGGTAAGAAAACTCAACTCATTTCAAATTTCATGAAGATTTGAAAATTTGGGATTCTTGATGAATAGTGATTTTGTGAATAGTGATTGTGTGTTAGTTTTGATGGTGGATTGATGGGATGAAAATTTGTTCTCATCTACAGCGTTTTTCTTGCAAAACACCAATCATTCTACCCCTTTTAGTATGTTTATGTTATAAATAATAGTATGTTAGCAATAAATGTTGACTTATGTGAAGGAACGATTGTCAAGATGGAAAAGTGAGAAAAGAAAGAGAGAAAAGAAAGATGAGGTGTCCCTTACTTTTACTTTTTGATTCTACTAACATCTATTTTTTGCTTTTCTGTAGTGTGCGATAACAAAACACAACTAAAAGGATAAATGCACGTAGCATAGAAGAAAACGTGCACAACAAAGCAAAGAATAATGTTGGACGCATCTGAATGTCAGAAGATCGTCCTTGAAAAAGTAAAGCAAATGAGACAGATCAAACGAAGGCAATAACAGCTTTGGCAAGCAAGTTTTAACTGCTAGAATAACACCCTGGTCTTTTCTATAACACCTTGCATATTTAAATACATATTAATAATTAAATTAAGGGTTAGAGAGGATGTTTAGTGAAAATTCTGAGTTTTGGATCAAAATACGTATAAAGGGTAAAACGGTAAATCAACAAATATGTAACCCTAAATTATAAAATAATAGAATTAGACCTCAAAGGAGGAAAATAATACTAGAAATGGATTCTGTAAGAACCTGCACCGTTAATTAAGGAAGTTAATTAATTAATTATGAGAAATTAGGAAACAATTCCATAATTGACCCTAATAATTATGATAAGGCTTAATTAATTATGGTAAGTGATCAATAATGCTGAAAGTCGCTTTTCGGACGAAAAGTGCAGATACCGGTTCTGTTACTCGGTATAAATGCGTACCAATGAAGTATCTCGAAAAATTATAAAAAGTGTGTATATGTCACTAGAATAATATATTGGACTTGTAAAACAAGTTTCAAGTTAAAATAATGAGAACTGGTGCCAGAACTGATACTGGCTATGGAAAAACGCGTACCAAAAAGGTGTTGCGAAAAAAAAATATGAAAAATCTTAGAAAAATGAGTAGGTTCAGAATCCTAAGTTTGAGATTAAAATGCTAAGCGTAGCTATTAGTGCTAATACTGTGTGATTACACTTAAGTGGGCCTATAAATAGGCTTGGCACTGAGCCCTAGGCTGATCCTCAGCATACTCCAGCCTCTTCTACGTGAGTTCTTGTGTGTGAGTTGCTGCCACTCTTCTCCTTGGTCACCTTTGCATGAGAAAACCTCCAAGCCATCTCCTTTCTTTGATTTCTTCACCTATAAACAAGTAAACACTTGGGAGTGAGCATTGGTGAGGGTGAAAGGTGTCATCTTCTGAGTTGAGGGTGCTGTCTTGTGTGAAGGTGTGGGGCTGAGTTCTTGTGTTGTGTTGTTGGAGCCTTGTCTTGGTTGTGGGAGCTTCAAGTGGTGACCTTTGTGAAGAAAGGACCCACCTTGAAGTGCTTTTTCGTGGCCCTTTGGTTGCTGTTCTGTGGAGTGGCATTGGAAGCTCCAAATCACTGCCTTTTTTTGTTTTGAGAGCTTGGTAAACATACTCAACCTTTGATCATGAGTTTTGATGGTTAAAAATGGAACCTTGATGCATGTAATGAACTAAAATTAATAACTTGTGGTTGGGTATGGTTAAACACACCTTAAAATGCATGTTTAAGCTTCTGTAATCGATAAAAGTCGAACCTTTGGATTGATATCTCGCAAAATGCAGAATCTAATTTCTGCCGCGAAATATCCAGATATTGGGTTAGAAATATCCGGATATTGATATCCGGATATGGATATCCGGATATTGATATCCAGATATGGGGTTCTGAATATCCGGATATTGCCAGACAGATATCCGGATATTGATATCTAGATATGTCCCCGACAAATATCCGGATATTCTGGGTTTTCGAAGAACAGTAGCTGCACTGTTCATACAGAACTGTGTTTTGGGTTTGTGGACCCTAAATTGATGAAGTGGGACTTCTGTAATAATTGAACTAAGTCAGAATCAAGTGATTAAGGGTTTGTGGCTTTGTGAGAAGCCTTAAGACATGAAACGTAAAGGAAAGAAGTTGTCTTTGTGTCTTATGCTTGTTGTGTATGATTATTGATATGATTGCTGGTCCAAAACAGATTGTAATTCTGTTGTGTTTGGGCTTTGAGCTTGGTTGGACTCTTGACTTGGATTGTTAGCTTGCAAGGTAAGCTTTTGTGTCCTCGGTTTAGCCTTTGTGTGGTTCCACCATACCCCATGGGGGAATGGTTTATATGCATGATGTGTTTACATGCTTTGATAATTGAAAATGTTGTTGAGCTTTATGTGCAAGGGCTTTTAATATGTATGTGTTGTTCCATTTAGACGGTTAGCTTAAGTATGTGGCGTAATACAAGACAGTGACACTGTGGGTGGGTGCAAGTGGTGTCTTGCATTAGTGCGGGTAATAGACGTATTCATGCATCTCTCTGGTCAATAGATTAGTCATAACACACATGACATGATTATCTGCTGCATTGCACTATTTTGGAACTTATACTGTTTAACTGTTTTTGGAACTTATATTGCACATGTAAGTGAGCTTGGGGTGGAAGATCCTTGAGGACCCCTTGTCTTATTGAGATTTCTGTTTAGAGATCTCACCCCACGTTTGGGGCGCTTATTTCAGGTTCAGGTAACCCAGGGGTTGAGACCTCTAGCGGCAGGAGGCCGAAGCTTAGTTGATTGATGTTTACCTGCTTATGCTGACTATGCTTGGATGCTGGTTTATGTCTGTTGATATCATGCTTATAGCTTCATCTGATGTTATTGTTGAGACTCTGTTGATTATGTTGCTATTTGGTGAGCATGGGGATTGTCCATGCCACGTTGACTTGACTTTATGTTTTTAGCTTTGAGTTGTATTAATGTATCAGGATATTGTCCAGACTACGTGTTGTAGATCCGTGACTTAGATACTCACTTATTTATCTATTGAGGTATTTCAGTTAGCTGTCTTTTGCAATTTACATACAGACGATGTTTTTATGAAATTGATTAAGTAACAAACTTAGATAAGTTTAATGACGTCATAATTGAAAAGAAAAAAATATTTTGCATTTTAATTAAGCGTGGCTTAATACAATGATATGTTAACAAACCGGGTATACACGGGGTGTTACAGATTCAAAACTAAAAATTGAGTGATTAGGCAAGTTTATGGAAAATTGATGAATAGTGATTTTAACGGATGAAATATTGTGGTACAGTTGCACCGAAAAACGTGCAAAGTAAGATTAGTACTCTAGGATTGAATATATGTCGGAAAAGGTACTTAGAACCAAGAAATGTGATTATTGGCACAAATTGATGGATTTTAGGGTTTTGGGGAAAACGTGCCAACGGTGCACAAATAGAGGTAAAATAGTAATTTCACCAAATTACCGGAAATCTTTGGATTCATCTGTTCAAGGGTAATTAAAGGACTTTGATGAATATTAAATTTTAGATTTAATAGACAGTCCATGAATTAATTGAAGATTAGTGGGTTGAGTGGATGATTTGAATT